CCACTTCACCCCTCTTCCTGTGTTTACTTGTTCTTCTGAATCGAGGCCCTAAATATCAAGATAAATCTATTTATCCGGATTTACGACAACTTATGTTTTGCTTTGGCAACTACTTAAGTTACGTATTCAGTTGATGAGTGTGGTATGAGGCATGTTGTGAGATGGCATATATTTTCATGATTACATACTATCTCCATGGCAACAAAACACCAAATAACATTGACGATTTGGGGTATTAAAGAGGAAAACGTGGAACACGACACTTTGAACTGTGTAAATACTCAGAAAATTTTAAAATGTATGAAAACAGATCAAAAGAAAAGTTCATACTTTAAGTTACATATGTTACAGAATACACCAAATTAGAATTAACTAGCTTACGTACCCATTCAACGCATGGAGAGGACATAAGGGTCCCACGGTAACATAGAAGGTTAGCTTCGAACCGCCTCACACCCGCACCCCATTTCACTCCCTGGCTGGCCCTATAAGCCCCCCCCCCACACACACACACACATATACAAACTTTTTCAAATAACGGGTTCGGTACTGAAACTTCAGTGAGTTTAAGCTTTATTTTTTGTATATGTACTCCTATCAACATGTTCATTTATCTACAACAAACATTATTTCTTTTGTCTGACGGAAATACAAATCTCCACCTGAAGCCAGACGAAAGAATTTATGTATTGTTTTAAACATCGGTCTGAATCATTGAGATTATATGCTGAACTATGAACCAAATCATCAAGTCCAAAGGTTGTTCAAGTTGTATATCTCTTACGTTCTACAGAATATGACGAAATAAGTTTCGGTCATGATGTGTCATTTTTTTCAATAGCTGTTATAAATCATGTGATTAACTCTAACGCTTGCATCATGCTATTAATCAATACTTATCCGTTCTACAGAATATGACGAAATACGTTCCGGTCATGATGTGTCATTTTTTTCAATAGTTGCTATCAATCATGTAATTAACTCTAACACTTAAATCATGCTATTAATCAGTACTTATATCGTTCCTCAATTTATTATTTGTAGGTGATGCAATAATTAGGGTGTGAGAAATGACTGAGATGATTTCTACTCACATAACAATGAAGTTATGTATATTACTGTATCTTCAAAAGCAAAAAAAGGTTGATACAAACCACCTACATAAAGGCGTCTGGGGTAGGGTGAGTATGCTCATATCTTCACATATGTTCAACAGTAGATATACTTTCAAAGAAGTTCATTGTAAATCTTTAACAATAAACACGATAGATATCTATCTCTTTGAATGTATGTATTCAAAAAAAGGTTTCCGTAAGTATCAACCATAAAAAATATACTTTTAGTTCATCTAATTCTCACTGAGGGCGCACTGAAAAAAAAGTTGTTAAGCGATCTCAATGTTTTAGAATATAGAGTATATAATATAGATTAAATATAAATTAAATCTACATACATGTATAAATATATTTTAAACAGCACTATATATCGAATACTCCGTGTTATTCGAAACTATGTCATAGACTGAGAAAATGAGCACTTTCCACATCAGCCAGCCCAACATCTTGACGTGAATCAAAAAAATAAAAAAGTAATTCTAGAAAGTTTGGGTTGTTTTGATTAGAGAAAAAAAGAAGATACTTGGCACTATCTTCGAGATCTAAGCCTGACCCGACACCATGAAGGCCAACATGGACAAATTAAGTTGTAAATGTTAAGTAAAACGATGTAGCAAAGAAACATGCTTGAAATATTCTAGATGTGGTTGTGAATGGGATGGTTTAAGTGTAGCGATTAAACTAAACCGTGGATCCATGTTGGATGAGGGAGAACTTAATCGAAGATATCCCAATCGATTTGACATACCAGCTCAATCGAAGATTCGTCAATTTATTATTGCAATGATAGCGAAACATAAAAAAAAACATACCTGGACACAATAGTATCATTAACTTGAAAAAGATAGACTGCAATCATATATAAGAAACCTTAAGTTTCAATATTTTGTGAAAGTAACGACACAAATGCAGTGTTGAAGTTGAAGCAGGTGCACGATACATTACAAAATGATTTCCCTAGCGAATCTCAAACACAAAATCATAGGTTTTTGTTTTATTTGAAGTTAAGCACAAAGTTACACAAGCTATCTGTGCTATGCCCACCACGGGTATAGAAACCCGATTTCTAGCGTTGTAAGTCCGCAGACATACCGCTGTGCCACTGGGGCAATATAAAAAGGGTGGTATAATACCCAGTATGGTACCATCATAATACAATCTATATAGATTTCACTGTGCCATATTTTCATTAATATTTAGTTGTTGTTTTTCGTTTTAAAAGCTGTGCTGAGCTTCATTTATCAATATCTATCGAAATAGCCCCAAATCACTAAATTACCATCCTAGGCTCAAGTGACTAAAAGATGCTGGGCTGGTTCGTGTGATATGTATTAATAATATGTTATACATTCACATGAGAAAAATGATACAAATTTTTATTTTTCGAAACGTACTTTCGAACTATATAAAACTATAATGCAATAATAAAGGTGAATAATTATAATAATAAGACGGAAAAGAAGATCTACATATATACAGAAGACGAGCGTTATAATCTTTAGTCTGAAAACATAGTTTGTGGTTTAGTGTTTATTTCGAATTTATCCTCTTTTTTTGTAACAGTTTGTGCTCAGAAACACGTTTAAAATATTAAATTTTAATATATATATTTATTTAATTAATCACAGATAGTAAACATTTTCATTTTTCATAAGTGCTTGTCGAAAAATAATTATTACTGAACATTCTTAATACTTGAACTGACCTACTACATTTCTATTTAATGTTCACATAAGCTCGTAACTGTTTTAAAAACGACAAGTCTTGTTAATTATTACAATACTAAATACACATATTCATGAAAAGTACGTTACTGGTCTGTTAATCTGAAAGACAAAGTAAGCTAAGCGGTCAGGCAAGAGACCACATGGAAGGCTTCTTTGTTTGTTTGTAATTAAGCACAAAGCTACACAATGGGCTATCTGTGCTCTGCCTACCACGGGTATCGAAACCCGGATTCTAGCGTTGTAAGTCGGCAGAAAATGGAAGGCAACCAATAAGAAACACCTACCGTCTGGAGATTCTAATCTTAAAGGAATAGCAGAAATGATAGTAAATTGTATAATATACCCACAGCTGTAAGTGCTTCGCGAAACCCTCTAATCCCAGTTCGCTATGCTAAACAATAGACCAACGCCTGAGCCAGCACGCAACATGTTAATATTTTATGTTACTAGTTAAGAATCAAAGAAAATAATCTACCTAAATATAAACAGAAGAAAATGTTCCAAACATCTATACTGATGATGCAATTTTCTCGCGCTTGGTTTCTTTGATATAGACATACGTATTTCACCCAGAACACAGTTTATCATCACCTTGTGTGTCTATTAAAAGTGCTATAAATGACAACTGAAGGAGTTTCAGTTCATTGAAAGACTAGGAACAACGTTATTTTTTTTTGTTACTTTTTTATTTCGTCTGTTCTAAACTACTGGATAAGCCCCAGGTGGGAAAATCATCAAGTCTTTATCAGAGATAAAATCTGTGAATCATCGTCTTTATTTAGTCCAGCTAAACCTGAATATTGATATTTTAAGTAACAGCGAATTTTCTCTTTGGTTTTATCTGATTTCTTGTATACACGACATCTATGAACGTCGTAACATTAAAACAAAGGTTGTCATTCAATAGTATTTATAACTTCTTTAGCTGAGCCGCCTTGAAGGTACTAGCTGTCAACAAGTACACCAAAATATACCATGGAAGTTTGCCGCGATTACCTTTGGTCATGTGATCACGTTCATTCCTTCTGATTGGCTCAGACAATTGAGATTTAGACTCATTTTTAGATTGATTAGGACTTTTTAAAATAATATTTATAGTGTAAATTACACAACATAAATAAACAGTAAAACAGTGAATATACGGAAATCAAAGACTATTCAGTACTTTAACAACCATAGGGTATTTTTTCACAATGGTTTAGTAACGTTTCATTGTGTCGTTTTCATTTACTATACAGGAAACATAATATTTTGAACGCAGGTCAGTTTTACAAAGATTTTGGTAGATTTTATACTAACTTATATTACTTTTAGTGAAACAACGATTATTTTTCAGCATCTGTTTATTTTCTAAAGTTCTCTTTTCTGTCTGTTGGTACTTTCATTTGCTTTTAAAGAAATAACAATTGCATTTCAACATAACGATTTTTAAACACTTCTTGTTATCATAGATTCTTTAAGGAAGGAAATAAACAATATTCATATAACATTTTATTTAAAAGTTTTGTCTACGGAATATTTCTGTACATCATTACTGAAATAAGAAAGTACCATCTAGTTCAAGTTCTTGTTAAAATAAAATTACAGTTAAACACAAGTATTACCTTTCATGGTTATTTCGCAAGGCACAATGTTTGATTTATTTCAAGCAATTCAGAGTGAAGTTTTCATATTTTTAAGCTCAAATGTTATCAACTGAAATGTTCATTAATACATTAATACTCAAGTATTATCAACCGAAAAACATCCGTTATTAAAATACTCAAGTGTTAACAACTGAAAACACGTTCATTATTAATGGGTATTGTTCGTTAATAAAATAATCAAGTCTTAACAATTAAAAATATATTCATTATTAATAACTATTATTGATTATTAAAATTCTCACGTTTTAAAAACTAAAAACACGTTCATTATTAATAGGTATTGCTCATTATAAAAATATTCAGGTGTTACTAAAACATGTTAATTATTAATAGGTTTGTTCATTATTAAAATACTCGGGTGTTATCAAGTGAAAGTCAATATTATAAAACTTAGGACTTACGAACAGAAACATAGATTATTAAATTAGGTATGATCAACTGAAACAATCATTATAGAAATATTCAAGCATTATCAACTGAAATGTTCATTTTTTAATACACTCCGTGGCATTTCAATATCACAGTATCGGAGAGTGATGTTTTCAAAATTTTCGAGCCGAACCACACATCAAACTACCCGTTATTCATTGAAGTAGTAAGTCACTGTTTTTGTGAAGGACCCTAAAACACCTCGAACGCTCTTGTGGTAAACTTTTCAAGAGTCATGAGGAACGGTGAACTACTTTGGTTTAACACCGAAAGAATCCCATTCAGGAGACGGACCACGGTCGTTGTTGTTCAGATAAAAGCCCCCAGAATATCAGAGGAGTAAACTTTTCAAGAGTCATGAGGAACGGTGAACTACTTTGGTTTAAAACCGAAAGAATCCCATTCAGGAGACGGACCACGGTCGTTGTTGTTCAGATAAAAGCCCCCAGAATATCAGAGGAGCTCTTTTGGTTAACTTCTTTCAAATGGTCTCGAGGAAAAGCTAACGTAGACTAATTAAAGGAAGAAAGAGATGTTGTTGACTGTCTAGGAACATCGTTTGGAGTAAAGAATGTATGATGAACTGGATATTTGGCTCATTTGTCCATCCGAACAGTGACTAATGATTTGAAAAGGCCTAGGAGAAGGAGCAGGGAAGCTCCAAAGATTTTTAACCACAACCACATTCTGTAACAATCATGTCGTCAAGCTTTCCTTCTCGTCTTTGGCTGTGACTGTCAATCACCTTAACCATCAAAGGTTTCCTTTTCTTGGAAGTACAACACAGTCGCGGGATCTTGTCTTTCATGATCCTCCGCAGCCTGTTTTGAAGCAAAGCGTGCCTGTTGAGAACATTTCTATACCGCTTATTGCACTTTCCTTTGCATACAAAGGCATCAAACTCTTTGGGTTCAATAATAGATTCCCAGCCGGTTCCTTTGAGAGGGATACTTTGGAAGGATACTTTCATTTTGTACCGACAGCACCTTTTCGTCTTTTTACCATGGGTACAATCCATGGGATACCGTTTAGAATGACGAACGTTTCGTGGTAAGCGGCGCGATCTTTCTGATAGTCCAATTTCGAGAACGGACTTACTAGGGGACTTGTCAAGTGTAAAGTTTTGTTGGAGGAAAGAACTGGCTTCTAGGGAATTGTTCATTGACATAAATACAAAGTCACAATTACTACACACAATCTGAAGTTCGAGTTTCGACTCTGGTTGGGTTAACCAACTTTCCACAGCACTGGACACGTCAAATGTCTCCCAGCCTTCTGATCCTTGTAATTCTAACTTGCGGGACGTGACTAGAATATGTAACTTGGGATTTTGCCCCACAGAGGTGTTCATAAGTCTATACACAGAAACCAAAGGCTGAGTGTGGTTGGTTCTTATAAAGGCCATTCTTTCTTGGTATTGGTAGGTTGAGATGTTAGCATTTGTAAAGTGTATACTGTTCTTGAGGGTAGAGCGAAGTGGGAGGTGAAAATCAGATCCCCGAGATCTGTAAATATGCAAAGATGCTGACGTGACAGAAAAATTACTGGAGAGCTCCTTCACGTGTGGTAAAAAATACACGTTCAACAGTTTCAAATTCCTCGTGTCCATCTGTGACGATGAACCTGAAAAGGAATAAAAATGATGTTACTTTTGGATAAAGTCTGGAACAAAGACCAATATAATTTCTTCTCAATTTTGTTTTTAGAACCTATAAAGTCAAACCGGAAATATAAATAGAGTATGTGTTGTAACGAATTTGGTATTATATATTTATTTTAATATCAACGGTTGTTTAGATTAAGTTTATATTAAAATATAACATGCGGAGCTTATAGTGTTAAATATGTATTGCGAAACTCCCGCCTACTCTACAACGTTTTAGAAGATTCTCTAGAGTAAGAATCAACAATATATGTGTGTACGTAAACAATTAAACTGTATTGTTACGTAATCTGAAATTTCTAGAAAACCTTCCCACGGTTATAAATATAACCAACGAGAAGCGCCAGGGAGAGTATCTATTATTAGTTCGCTATGGTCAGTGTGCTATAAACTTCGAAAGCTATAACTGTGATTGTTATAACGCTTACCAGTCGGAAAACTTCAGATATTTGACCAGGAGCATTTACAAAGTTCGAACATTACAACTCATTTAACTTCAGTGGATTCTCATCGGACATTAGTACTTTTACGAAAACATTACCTAACGTCATCGGCGGAAACTCAGTGCGTGTGGCAAAGGACAAAGCTAGCTAGCTTCCAGGCGAATCGTACCTACATCAACTCGTAATTAACTCGTTCATCGTGAACCCTCGATAAGATATCAAAGAAGTTCCAAACTAGAAAAAAAAGACTTTATATTGCTTGTAAGTTTGTGAAAATTTCTTTATAAATCATTGCTTGTAATAACGATTTGTAATAACAGTTATTGTAAATTGTATTGTTGTGTATATATCAAAACGTATTTGTGTTTAAAAAGAAAATTGTGTGCATCAATTTTGTTGGCAAATATCATAAACTGACTATATACCGACTTTTACTTAACTGTTAAATATAAAGTACATTTAAACCACTAAATTTAACGTATCTTTTGACTGGGTTACAGACCATTTGAAATTCTAATACGTAACAGTGTAATTTAGGAATAAATTTGTGACCTAAAATAACATATGAAAGTTTCGTAACACAAACCAATCAATTAGCTACAATATTAAAGAAAAATATTATATTGTTTCAATTTAAATGCAAGCATAGCTGTTAATAAGTTTGTGTACAGGAGGTGGATAAAATAAAATGTACAATTTTTTGAAGTTTAAAGGCCTACGTCTCACTTTCTCTCTCGCATTATCTGCATAGGAGAGTATGTTGTTTGGATAAGGGGAATCCCCTATTCATGAAAGACCCAGCTATCATGTGCGGTCCATACAGGTTACGGAATGTTGTCATGGTTCCTGGAAGTGGAATATCATATTTTCTTTTTTACTCAAGAGTCCTTGTATGATGTGATCGGCAATCTTCTGCTCTTTAACATTACTTGGAATTTGTGGTACATTGTCCTTGTGACGGTTAATTTAAGAAAAACTAAATTGCATTTGAAGACGTGCTACTAAATTCAAATGTTGGTTGTTAATAACTGAGATTAAGAAGTTGAAATTTTTGTAGTTCAAAAAATGAGGCAATTATTGTATTATAATTAAACTCAAGTCTTTTTAAAGAAAAATAATCAGAATGGTTAAAACTGTTAGATTACACAAAAATCTTTTGTTTCTCGAACATATACAATCACGTTTTAGCACTTACTTGATTAAACATAAATCATATTTTTATAACACAAATATTATAATTTTACTAATGGGCCCTATAGAATATTATAAAAAATGCTTGGATATGTTAGGTGTTGTTCAGTATTATCATACCAGTACAAAGAGTATTCCAAAAATGTTGAAATTATCCTCAACTTTGGGAAAGTCAGTGTTAAGCTAACAGACTTATAACGCTAAAATTCGGGGTTCAGTACCAGTAGGGACCAGTGCAGATAGCCCATTGTGTAACTTTGCGTTTAATTATAAACAAAGCTATAATAAAAAGATAGTTAACACATGCACAGGTACTTTAAACCCACACCGTCAAGAAAATTCATCATAAAAGTCTAATTAACTTTAAGCATTTTAACAGCGACAACATTTTGATATAAAATATGAAAATAAATATGATTCATTGGTTTAAAAAAATTCTCATCTACAATATCCAAAGGCACCTTGTATAGTTGGATGTGAGAAATTATACGCGCCTTTACGTATCAAATATCGAGTGTAACAGAAGTAAGTTAGGGTTAGAGTCACTAAGCTCACGGTTACATGAAAGAATGTTCGTAATTTTTTCTCATAAAATCGCACGGGGATCAATTACAACATTTTCTCCCCCTTGTATCATTTTGTACGATTGTTGTTTTTATTTTAGTGCAAAGCTATACAACAGGCTATCTGCACTCTATTTATCGCGAGGAATCGAACTCCGTATTTTAACGTTGTAAATTTGTAAACTTACCTTTGACCCACCGTGTGACACGATTGTTATAATGTTGGTAATTGTAAGCGATCACGTACACGTCTTTTATTTTTAAAGAAAATATAAATCTTATATGCTATTCAGAAATTCCTTTAAAAGTGGAGCTACTTTATCGTTGTTTACTATTGATTTTAAAAGGCCAAAAATTATCTCAAATTCTTAGATAGACAAAGCACAAATAGTACTGAAGACTAAACTTCACAGCTGAAAGCATAATAAAGATATTTCCATATAGACACACACAAAAATTAAGTAAACTCTGCCATTGAAAAACAATAAATAATATTCTAAACGAATTGTTTAACGTAAGCAATAATTACGTTGTTTATTTGACTTAGCTCACTTTTTACTTATTTTAGAATTTGATTTTTATAAAGCGTCATTATTTGAGGCCTTCAGTGCCTGATTTTTTTATCTCATATATGATTGCAACACTTTAACTGTATTGGAATTAAATACCTATAATTGTTTCCTAGACCTCTTTGATTTCATGACGTAATACGGGCTATAAAAACTTTTGCAGCTTGTTTATAGGTGGGCAAGTACAAGGAATGGGGCCTAACTACTTCAAGTAGGAACCTTTGGTCACGTAATGCTGTAATTACGTAGTGAACCGCCAGGGTGTTTCCCCGAAAATGGCCTAAGGTTTTCACAGATCACAAAACATCTGCTTTTTTTTTCTTCCATTGTTGTGTTTTTAACACAGGTGCTTTAAAATGTCAGTTATGTTTGAAGCGAGGAAGTGGTGGGGGATGTAGTTTTTTGGAGTATTCGCCAACATTTGATTTTAACGTAAGCAATAAATATTTTCCAAAAGAAAAGAACACAGTTCTTTTTATCATAGTTCAATTTTTGCTTATTTCAAACTTTAAGTTTTTATACAAAGATCTTTATTTATGTTCTTCAGCACCTGATTTTCTGTCATATATATATATATACAAACAAATATGTGTGTCTATATAAATAGAGAATTAGAAAACAAACATAAAACAAATAAATAAGCGGAACATTCCCATTTAATTGTATTAACTTACACTGATAAATTATTCTAAAAACATAAGCTATTACTTATAGCGCTTTAGCATGTTTTTTGTTATAATAAAGGGTATTTTCATCAAGCGTGAAAATAGCAAGAAGCGGCTCTTTTCATACAAACTTCTAAAAACGTCATTTTTTTAGTCCAACATCTAATCACTACTGTTTCCTTTTAAACTTTAGGTTAAAGATAACCAGTCCTCGATGAACATATAAAAGTTTAAACATATTAACTATTTGGGAATATTAGTCTAATTACTTTGTTAAAACAATGAATGAGGTTGGTGCTTAAAACTCAAAAATAATTCAGTAGTCACCTGCTGCGAGATTAATTTAGTTCACCAGTTTATTTTTCCTAATTTTTCTGTTGAACGCTTGCAGCGTCACCTACCATAGCATAATTATAAAAGTGTTAATATGATATATGTGAGCTTTGCCTAACTGATAATTGCTATAATTATTCTTTTCGTGCTAGTTTTAATAACAAAAAAAAGAAATTAAGTGCCGCTGTCTTTCGTCCGACGATAAGTGACCACTATTCACAGATATATAGATATATAAAGTGCTTTAGGGTAATGTCTCTTGTATGGGTTCTGTCCTATATAAAAGTTCGGGTTCGGTTACTTCTGAAATTCAAGACTTATATAAACGAATAGGAAAAGTCATGAGTTAATATCTGGTATTACCAGAATTTTTATTTTAAATGTCACGTTTCAATAAACAATAAATATTAATAAAATAGGTAATGACCATTTTAATTAATATGGTTGAGGTGTTGATTGATTTCGTACAAGGTCAGAGTGAAAATTATGCAGGTGTGTGTGTGAAAGAAATTAATAATTATTTCTATTATTGGCCAGTAAGACTCAGAGATAACATCTATCATTTCGAAGTTTCAGTCAGTGTTATTAACCTCATGTCACGTTTTATAAGAATACCATGAAATTAGCGGTGGTTAGTTAGTTATTACTAGACATGTCCGATTTAATTTAGTATACACACTACATGAACAATTAAAAGAATAATCCAAATTTGTTCTATTATATCTATGACAATGAAAAAAAAAACGTTTTTATAAACGCATGTTGATCACCCCTCAATTCATTGTTATGCAAATCAGTCTTGTGAAGTTAAATGCAAATGATTGGTCATTCAACCTGAGATAACTGTGTCACTTTGACGTGAATCACGGAGTTTAAAATGCTTCATATATACACCTGGAAAAAGG